GCCATGCTTCGGCATGAATGGGCCGGCTCCACCGGAGTGATACCACGGCCTCACAGAAAACCGGTGTTAAGCAATTCTTTCGTTGCCGAGGTTACCGGAGCCCAAATTCCCCCTCCAGCTGACTTGAGCGGGAGGGACTCCAAGGGCAGCAACACACTTGTGACTTTTGAGTTGCAGGTGTCCCGTCTGCTCGTTTGCCCCCTTATACCATAAAAAAAGTTAAGTTAGGTAGGTATTAGGGATATTTATGGTCAAAATTAAATATTTATTAAACTTTGAATAAATTATTGTTAAAGTTAAATTATAAATAGGCAAGATTGAATTAATTGAACTAGCCTTAAGACATAATAATTTATTTCTCAACATCAATAAAGGCAACGCAAAATGATGTACATGAACATAAAACTATGAAAAATAATATAATTCAGTAGAAAGGGTAGCTCCGTACGTAAGGTTGAGGAGGCATCGGACATCCGGCGGAAGAAGGCGGGGCTTAACGGCCGCCATTTTGCGGCGGCGCGCGCGTGCGCAGTGCCGACGGCATTATAAAATAATAAACAAAGCGGAATTACGGAGCTTTCGGGACCATTTTACGATCTTCATGGGATTATGTGAGTTTATGGTAAAAAGGTTTGATAATTTGTGTACGGCCGGTGTGGGGTTACGCGAGTGTCGCGCCGCCCGCCATATATTCGTGTTTGTTACTGCTGCGAAATGTTTAATACTGACAGATAATATCCACTTTCATAAATACATACAACTTGGTTCTTTCAATGTAGACACGTATAAAGTGTGCTCATTATTAAATTTGTTATATTTTAATTTCATTTTTTTATACAAACGGGGAAAAACACAGACGAAAGTGTCAGTAAAAACAATATCTGTATAAAGCTTTTATTTAACATTTTAGTTCCTTTAATAAGTAGTAGTTCTAAGAAGTGTTTTCAATAAGATTAAAATAGATTCACTTCAGTCCTCTAAAAACAACACAAGACTAAATAATAAAATTATTACAACGATTAAAATTCCGATACATTTATAACCCAGAGTTGATTTCCTTTTCCGTCTCCGAAACTATCCGCCCATATTACCAGGCTCCCATGAATCGCGAGGAGTGAGCCGGGACGTAAATCAAGCACCGTCGTCCCATCCATCACGCGGCGGCGGGCCATCAATCGCGGTGCGACCGAAATAGACCGACGATGTATAACTAAACTTGGACGTTCTCACCTAAGGGACGCAGACGGAATATTTGAAAACTCCTCCAGTTTATGAAGCCCTTGTGTAGTTTGTGTTATTTAAATGAGTTTGTACGAAGATATTACGACATTCTTCGTCTTGACTAGTCATTCCCAAGAGAGAGATTCAAGGTAGATAGACAGCCCCACATATTCCGCTACGCTAATCACAAGCGATTCATTAGATATGAGACTTTATAGGTTACGTATGCAGATGATACTGTCGTTCAAATATTTTTGTACTTGGTATTTCACTTTATTTGGGTTAATAATAAATCTTTTTAAATATTTATCCTACTACTAAATGTAATCCTATTACTAAAACATGAGCACCCTACGTTTTCAGGTTGTAGTGTGTACTACATTCATTTTTTATGATAGAAAATAAGTTAAAATTCAGTGGTTACCATTACAAATATCAATTTAAACATTGTGTAACCAACACGCGATTGTAATCTTATGAAGAATGAAAATGAAATTTTTAAATTATTATTCATTCGTAAAATCTAAGTCCGAAAAATCTGTTTTTGATAATAACTTATATAAATATAGGTATATAAATTATTATACCTACATATAGAGCACATATGTAGGTATAATAATATATATATATATATCACAGTCGGTGATATTTGCTAATGTTGTTTAAAGTATCAGTGTATTGTCTGATGTCTGTGAAATTATTAAGGTAAATCCGGGATTAGAGCCTAATTATTTTAATCATGTTATTTAATTTTACAATAAAATCTACTTAAGTAAAATTAATGTAGGTATTTCCCTTAATTCTTATTTCCAATTAATAAAGCTTACTAGTTAAGTCAAAAGTTAAAAAGGGCTTAATAATTTGCCAATTTCTTAAAGTAAAATCAGGACAGACTCGTCACTGTCACTGCTGTTATAATTAACCTACGAGCAAACGCTTTGTGGCAGATTAACGTCTGCCTCAGAGAAAATCGGTGTTTAAAGAAATTTTCCATGGCTTTTCACCGAGTGGATAAGATACCATAAAAAAAAGTATAAGAGTTACTAACACTTAATAAGTAGAAAAACACAGTTCAGTTTTTTCCGATTCGATAGGATTCTTTGACGTAGGTAACAATTTGATGATAGGCCTTTAGATGAAGATTATTTCTAGAAGAAGCTGAGTATATGTGAGATTACGTATTGTTTAACTTAGTTGTTTTAATTAAAGCAATGGCACGTTAAATGTATGTCGGAGAGGCAACCGGATGGTGCGTGGTAATGCTCGGCCTTGGAGTGGTACAGAGCCGGCATCTCATCATCATCATCTCTGGTAACACTACTCTGTTCACACCTTCAAGAAAAAAGACATGACTGTGTGTATGTTATTTAGGTATACAGAACTGCGGCCATATAACCGGCAGCGATATGACTAAGGAGATTTAAATATTTTTGTTTATTTATTTCTATCTTTCTTTAACGTGTTAGTTCTTGCAATTTCTACCTTTTTTTTTGTCTGTGCGGAAATCCCTTCAGATACCACCCCTCGGTGGTTATGTCGGATATGAACCGACCAAAAACCGCACGCCGTCTCGGGTACAAGTAGCTGGGGAACCAAGTGTACTTACCCTAGGAAGGAAATCCCTGGAACCCCGACGGACCCCGGGCCATCTACGGCTTGTATAAACCCCCTTCGTATATGGGATTTTGCAATTTCTACCTGCAAAACTTTTTGTATTTTTTCTTGCAAAGATAACTCTCGCACTGGGAATAAATCCTGTGTTGCGGGGTCGAGCCCACAAGACTCAATGCAGTAAGAAAGGAAGCGGCGAGGTGACCGCTTAAACAACTACCTACTCCATCCGTGCAGTCGATTATGTACATTGGATTATGTGGTTCTTAATTATTTATTAAGAAACTCAACAGTTTGTTTACATTTCATAAATGATTTGATGATAGTGTCATAAAAATCCTATGCTTAAGCTATTAACAGAGTTTCATGACATTTTTGTAGGCACTTTAACTAAAAAGTAGAAATAGATAAAAAATTACTAACTACCGATAATGCAGTTAATGTACAACCGATGTTTACCTACCTACAGTTTTGTAATTATGAATACAACAAGAATTAAATTTAGGTATTTGAGTAAAATCCTTCACACACCAAGGTATGTTTCCTAATTCAATTTATGACAGAATTTATGCAAAAAAATAGTATTTTGTAAAGTTAGTAGAAGAAAAAGGAGATTATCGAACATATACTTTTACAGGTACCTTGCATAATTTTCGTGTAAAAGAAAAAAATGGTTCAATTTCATGTAGAAGAGGTCGCCTCGTTATATTCTCAACCATTTTGCCTTTTTATATATCGTGCGCGTTCTATAACCGTACCTATTTCTACAGAAAAAAGTAGTTTATAAATTGTATTTTTCGGGTTTCCAGAAGTAAGAAAATACTTGATTTAAAACATAAAAAATATGCATACCTATATAATTTATAGCTGGAGGTTTTATTATTTTAAGACATGACGAGTAGTAGTAAAATGTAGGTAGGTACCTATCTCAATACAAGTTAAAAAAAAAACAGCCAAGTGCGAGTCGGACTCGTGCACGAAGGGTTCTGTACCATTATCTATAAAAACGGCAAAAAATAACGTTTGTTGTATGGGAGCCCCCCTTAAATTTTAGTGTTATTTTATTTTTCATTTTTAAAGTATTTTATTCTGTGAATATTTCACAGAATATTTACTACCTGGTGCCGTTATCGATATCACGTTTATTACGTTTACAATATTTATTTTTATTATGTTTTTAGTATTTATTGTTATAGCGGCAACAGTAATAGGTATATCATCTGTGAAAACTGTCTATCTTTCACGGTTCATGAGATACAGCCTGTTGACAGACGGACAGACAGACGGACGGACAGCGGAGTCTTAGTAATAGGGTTCCGTTTTACCCTTTGGGTACGGAACCCTAAAATGGTCACACATATACAACTACATGCTCATACTTACCTACACACTCATCTCTAAAAGTGGTAACATTAAACTTCAGTTTTAAGAAATATCTAAAGACCTTGTTTTAAAGAACAATTTTTATATTTTCTTTAGTAATTTTTAAAGTTCAAATACATTTTTTTTTTTTCTATAGCTAAATTTTTATCACAGATAATTACGTTTTCTTGTTGTAAAAATTAATTAGGTATTTGCGTATAACATCATATTAAAATTAAGAATACATTTTTTATTTGATTTGGCTACTGTTGAACCTAGTTGTATAATTTAATTAGACGATCATTCAAATACGTATTAGACAACCTGAGCACAACATCCAAAACGCCTACAATTGAATTAATCAGTCCAATTAGAATCAAGATAACAAGGCAGCCATAAAAAATATCCTCATTAATAGAGGCAAAGTTGTTGTTGCTACTGAATTAACGAGCGCCGAACTAACGCAATCATGTAATTACAGACACCTCGCCGGCCTACGCTAGAGGGATACCTACGGCCTCGCGAGGGGGGCGGAGTCACACCACGATCAATACTCCGACACCGCGCAAACACAACTAAAGGGCAACACCTCCGTCCTTTTTCAACTCACCAGTAGCTATTCGTAAATGAGCGAGACAAAATCCGACTACCTCATTCGCCGATACTGATCCCGTTGGGCGTACCCCGGCCTTTACAAGCCGGTAATCCGACATGGCTCAGTCGGCAAAGAACCGCGTGCCGTGCGCGTGCGTCCACCGCCGCCGGCGTACGATGCACTCCGCGTAGTCAGACAACGATTCATCACAATGCTCGTGCCCCCTGAAATGATGGCGGCGCAATCTAAACTCGTCTACCAGATGAACAAGTACTACAATGAGAGAGTCGCCAATAGGAAGGCGCAAATCACCAAGACCATTCACGAAGTATGCAGGATAGTCCAGGATGTCCTTAAAGAAGTAGAACTTCAAGAGCCGAGGTTTATTTCCTCACTTACGGACTACAACGGGCGGTTCGATGGTTTGGAAGTGGTTTCACCTCATGAGTTCGAAATAGTAATATACCTGAACCAAATGGGCGTTCTCAACTTCGTAGACGACGGCTCCCTACCCGGCTGCGCTGTCTTGAAACTGAGCGACGGAAGGAAGCGCTCCATGTCCCTCTGGGTTGAATTCATCACTGCATCTGGCTATTTATCAGCGAGGAAAATCCGATCAAGGTTCCAAACTTTGGTGGCCCAAGCCTGTGACAAATGTTCCTATAGAGATTGCGTAAAAATGATCGCTGAGACAACTGAAGTAAAGTTACGAATCCGCGAACGATACGTAGTACAGATTACACCTGCATTCAAATGCGCCGGGTTATGGCCCCGGTCCGCCGCACACTGGCCACTGCCGGCTATACCCTGGCCACACCCCAACATTGTGGCCGAAGTGAAAACTGAAGGGTTTGATTTACTATCAAAAGAATGTTTGGCATTGCAAGGCAAGAACTCTGCAATGGAAGGTGATGCGTGGGTGTTGAGTTTCGTCGAGGCTGAAAATCGCTTACTGCAAGGCGGATGTCGGCGAAAATGCCTAAGTATCTTGAAAACGATCCGAGACAGGCATCTAGACTTGCCGGGAAACCCCGTAACCTGTTATCATATGAAGACGCTGTTGTTGTACGAATGCGAAAAACATCCTAGAGAACATGAGTGGGACGAAGTGGCTATTGGAGACAGGATCAATGGCATTTTCCTACAGTTAATCTCATCGCTGCAGTGCCGCCGATGTCCTCACTATTTCCTGCCGCACGTGGACCTGTTTAAAGGAAAATCGCCGACGGCGCTGGAAAACGCCGCAAAGCAAGTGTGGAGGCTTACAAGGGAGATGCTCACTAATTCCAGGGCATTCGAGAAGCTGTGAGGGACTCGTCTTGAGTGATAGTGTTACGTGAAGTGGTCGCATGTTTGCCCTCGAGTCATTTTCAGTAGTTTTAACGAAATATTCGATGTGTATTGTATAGGCATGTGTCGGAACGTGATCAGAGACTCAGTGTATAGTGGTGGTCTGAAATATTCCATTCGGATCGGACTGAATGTAAGTAGAGTGATACTAATATACGCTAGGGCAGTTTCGATAAATATTCTTGTGATATACTGTAAATAGCTTAACGTTGTACAATTTTAGTGATATATTTAATTTAAAATTATCGTGTATTTATTTGACTGAAATCTTATAAAGTAGGCACATAATCTACTTATAGTTAAAATATAAATAATTTAAAACTATATATACTACTTTGATTTGGACACATACCCAAAGCATACAGGTATATACCAGAGAGGTAAACACTACAAGAAAATCTACCTAATTGAAGTATTCGCACTGCATATTTCCTAGGCATAAAATAGGCCTAACACCACGCATCCAATGTATTTTGCAATCGCATTCTCTTACGGTGCATAACCAGTTATAATCTGGGTTTTGTGATGTCGATCTTCAACATCATTACCATAAGTTTAACATGAGCTTCTTACTGTAATATCGAACGTAACTTTACAAGTATCATAACATTTACTGAACGTTATAAGGTAATATCTGATTAGGAACATGTACCGTTGATTACATCTAACGCAACTAATAAATATACATGCGAAAGCAATTCTATCGGTTTGTGAACTATTCAAGACTGAACATCTGAGCCGATGGTTGTGAAATACTGCAATAAAGTAGCTGGATATTTCATATGCAAAACTACTAGTACAAAAACAGTACGTTTTAGTGGTTTCTGCTTTCGTGAAAGTATTAGGATACTGAGGAATGTTCGACTTGGATACAAGAGCCTTACGGAACGGGTGGCAGTCTACGGCAGAATTATGTGGAAATAAGTCTACTAGATTTGTTTCTATGTATTACAGATAACTATTTATCACGCAAAAATTATAAGTAAATTTGAATATATTTCTATTCACACTAAAACAGTATCTTCTAGGGCTAATGTAGATATATTTTGCAATTTCGCAAATCTAAATCATTGCAAGAAAAAAAAACTGTTCACTATTCTGAAAATCGCAGTTAACATTGGCCTTATTGTAGTGACGGCACCGGTCGTTGTATTTCTGTATGGACACGTATGTCTACTGACGTATGTATGATGTATGACATTACTGATGTGCCATATACATGCCACCAGTGCCTACTGGTCTCTACATTGTCCTTACGAACCTAGTAACCAGAATAAAGAATACTAAGTGGTCTTGTTACTATACAGTGGTTACGTACTAGTTCTCTTTAGCGTGGACATACTTTCCTGGTCATTTCGCACTTTCGATTCGACCCGAAATATGCCAAAATCTGAATAATTTGATTCCTGTTTTTAAAATCTGGTTACGTCAAAGAACCATTTGTATAGCGATCAAGGTTTTTGTCACGATTAGTTTGTGAAAAATAACTGTTATTTTTAGGAACACAATATTAGAATTTAAAGTAGGTAATCATTTACGTGTTGTTAAAAATATAACATTGATAATGTATGTATGTATACATTTAACATTTACCTAAAGTAAAAAGGTTACCTAAAGCTCGTAAATGCATAAGCATTTAGCGTTTGATGCCAGTTCTCGGTACAACCGATTATTATTCATGGACTGATAATCAAAAGTAATGAGAGAACGTGGGCTCTTGTCGTTTAAAAATTAAACCTTAATTCGGAGGCATGAAATACATATTGTAGGTATTCATGGAAGATCATCAACATTAGGTCGAAGGCACACAGTACTGTGTTAACAGGTTCCGCCCCCGACTCCGCCCGTGTGAATCTCTTTAAATGTGTGGTAATCTAGAATTCAAGTCGAGATAGCCAAGTCTCTTTCTTTAAAAACTTTGTACATTTTGTTTTTATAGTAGGTTATGATTTAGCCACATTTCTGTTGATGCTAGCAAGACTTAAGAGAATACTAAATAACCTACTGCATGGAGTTCTTTTCTTATTACCTAATTAGTTTCGTACGAGGTTTTGGAAGAGGTAAATATCGTCGCCAACGCTCTAGACATTTTATTTATTTATACTTGTAACTTATTAGGTTAGACTATGGATGGGTCACAGTATCACTCAGTATATTTCTGAAAATATTCTTCTATACTATGATTTCTGTTATTTTATTCATCATCATCATCATCATCGACAGCCTTTAATAGTCCACTGCTGGACATAGGCCTCTCCTTAGAAAGTTTTCCTTCTTTTTGCAGTGCTGGTGTCCTGCGTTGTTTTGCACCCTTAGTCGGCTCTTACAACACCCACGGGATGAATTGGGGTAGTGACATTCCGTATTCTTAATCCGTCACTACACGGACAGTGTGCGTTATGTCATTAAATTCGTCTAAGTCCTATAGTCCTCGCTATTTTATTAATCGGTCCTGGATCAGTGCATTAACTGACGACAAGATTCATATCGTTAGCGTAGCAATTTCCATGTCTAAAAATTTATTTTATTTTATGGATTTTACTAAACGTCGAAGCTATTAAAGCAGTATCTTATTAAACACTTAAGAGTACACCTAAGCGAATCGTAAACAAGAATAGTCTCATCGTTTTTGTATCGACGGTATCGCATTACACAAGTATATTGGCCCTCGTACGCCTTCAAACTGCACTGTGGACATTTACTATAAAATTGTGTGGCATATTAAGTGGAAAAAAGACAGTACCAGCCGAATGACAGCCCTCCTACGTGAGTATCAGGTTACAAGTCGATATTTCACTTGTAAGAGTCGTGTAAGAGCTCCGTGGGCAGGCGATTCTCGAGGAGAATTCTTGGTGCGTTAATTTATACAGTACTTTAAATATAATGTATGAATATGTAATAGCATGGGAAGAAACAAGTAAAAAGTTTTTAAACTAATGACGTTTCCTAGTCAAGTTTTGTTAATCAATTTGCTGCACATTCGACAAGGGAATTTTAAGAGTTGGTGTAGTATCCAGCCATTAGAATACTTTAGAAGCATTAGAAGGGCCAAAACAAGGCCTCATAGGTGCGTCCATATTAAATACCAGGTATAAAAGAAAACAAAAGAAAGTTTCTAAGAAAAAGGCATACAGGCGGACAGACGGCAAGGCGTACGAGAGTTGACTGGTCAAGGACGATTGCGGTTCCTATAATAATTTAAGTGTGTCTGTGTGTGTGTGTGTGTGTGTGTGTGTGTGTGTGTGTGTGTGTGTGTGTGTGTGTGTGTGTGTGTGTGTGTGTGTGTGTGTGTGTGTGTGTGTGTTGCCGATCACAATTTACAAAAAGAGTAAGGCCAATCAAGGCATTACAGAAACAGAAATAGCCATTATAAATAAACAGTACTATTCTTTATAGAAAAAACTTTGGTAAGTTGATTACACATGTTTTTAATGTTGTTGTATTAGAAGATTCTGTTAACTCAATTAAATGAGCAAAAAAATAACTGTTTAATAAACAATTAATACATTGATTAGGTGTAATGGGTAATAAAAGCATACAAATATCGCAAGCCGAATCTGCACAGTCCATCGTCCTACAAACCAGTTTCATGGTCACAATATAGACGATACAAAGCGACGCCTACGTACACGTTTCTTTTAGTTTTTACAAACAATAATACACACAAACAGATACAATTGTATACAAAATATAGTATATATTTTTATAAAAATGTTAAGTTGGTTTGTGTACGCTTTAAAAACGTTTTTAGTTTTTATCTATTTTTCGCGTCACTTTTATTCCTGATTTCTCGTCAATGCCACCACAATGTGTGTATATATTATAATTTTTACTTCTTAACCTAAATTATTACTATTATATTTTTGTTGGGACATGTTTTAGGTAATGACGCCATGTGTGGGTCTCCGGACGTTGCATAGTGTAAATATAAAAATATGTACAGAAGTAAATATTAAAATGTTACTAGAAATTGGTTGGAGGTCGAATTCCAACCGTTTTGAGTCATGTTTCATTTCCTACACCAATATTACTTGTACTGTCATTTTATAAACTTTTGTACCAAGACAGGACGAAATACATACTGGACCAATAGCGTAATATAACCACATTTTTGCGTAATTTGTAACTTTATGGCACATTTTGTATAACAGTTCTGAGAATGGGTTTTCTTTGTGTCCATTTCATGTATGTTTGTAAAGTCCCCCGCGACACAGGATATATTGCTAATGCAGAAGTCTTAAAAAAAATGAGTTTTGGCTTTCTGGACTTCTTCTACATTTAAACATGAAGTATTCCAAATATGATATGATTAGATGCGTCATATTTGCTTAAAAAGGCGTAAAAAGAACACACATACCAGTAGGTATTATTATATACTGTTCCAATTATGAAACTACGCCTACGCCCCGGAACCGTAGTTCCACTAAAGATAGAACTAATTTACAATGTTATTACTATTAGATGATTAAGAAAAAAACTGTGTAATGATACCGGCTAAAAGTTATTTGTACCGATTATAAATAATATTCTAGTTCCCAAATTATCTGATAAATAAAATGGTAACACATTTGAGATAGTTACGTAAATCAAAATGTTCTACTTAACGGGACATCTTGATATAAACCGAACAAAATAACTATTAGATATAAATTTAAACTATCATTAGCTAAATAGAACGTAAAGTGGCTACATCTGGGGATACAAGATGATATAAAACATATCATGGCTTTTTTATGGGGCGATGAGTGGGAACTCTTAAATAATGGTTGATGATGGCATGATAATTAAATTATATTTTAAGACCATCCTCGCTACTGCATCAGTTATATAAATATAATTTATAAGGGATAAGACTAAATTGTTGATTGCCAGAAGAGAACTCTTGATAACTAAATACAGCAAAGTGAGTTTCAGTTATTGTTTATAGTGTGAGGGTGTGGGGCATGTTGCCCCGCTCGT